ACAAGGTTTTGTCATCATCAATGAATATTCCTCTTCTGCTACTGATCCAAAATAAACTATTAAGTTCAACTGAAAAACCACTTTTTCTTGTTATAACATATGCTTACCCTCTCTTGTTGTGACATATGCCAATAGTAAACATCATTTGAGCACTTCATTATTACAACTTTCAAAAGTAAAAATGTGCGTTTCTTTTGTCAGATGAGAAGAAAAAACTTGTTTGCTAAAAACAAATTTATTCTCTTTTATTTCAGTTTTGTGCTCATTCCAACGTTCAGCAGCTTTTAGCTTCTCTGTGGTATGAGGGTCTTCCAGGATTTCGGCGAAAAAATGTTGTGTTGCAGTCGCTTGAAATCTGCCGCATTGGCACGTTGTTCCCAGTATATTCGATCGCCTACATCCTCGCTCCTCACTCTTTTTACGGACGTATAATCAGACGGCCATTTATAAAATTTATATGTCACTCCGCCTCATATATCACCTTTCTATGTGAGTTCCGGTATTAAAGAGCTTTAAATACTTCGACAAAACAGTTTATGAATAATGCGTTATAAAGTGCATTCTTGAACTTAAGCATAGACTTGAACATAGATGTAATAATAAAAAAATCAGTAAATCATTAATACTGCTTGGATTTTGTATAGATCTTCTTCGTTGCTTTTAAATTCTAGAAACTCATATCTCGGTATTTCTTCATTGCACTAATGCTTCCATTAAATAGTGTGATAACTTAGGCAACGAAGTTTTCCCCTCTGTATAATGCATAGTTTTTCTTTATCTTATTGGCAAAAAGTGATCCCCCCCAAAAAAAAATATATTAAACTTCTTTTGTGACCACTATTCTGATCAAACTTAACACCTATTTTTAAAATAACGTCATACAAATTTAAAGTACGAAACTTACTAAAAGTAATCACGATAATTACTTCGTAAATAATAAGCACATAAAATCATGTTCATGATTCTTTTCCGTTTTCATTTCAGTTTTGCTCATTCTTGCATCACAGCGGATAGAAACTGTGTTGGTAGATTTGTTTGGATCAGAGGAAGCAAAGAGACGCATGCGAAGTGAGGTCATCACAAAAAGAGGAGCGCCACCTAGTGTCGTAGAATGGATGATTCTTGCATGGGTTTTAGGTTAAAGCATTTAACTATTTATCATTATTAATGCTTGATAATAACCCTATCAACCTCAAACACTCAATATAGAATGCTGAATGAAAAAAAGCTTAACAATATTTTTGTTTTACAAAAAGTGTTCAAAAACATGATTCAAAATATAGTATTCATATTTTAACGTCTAAATCATTTGTTAATAACCTTGTTCTCAGAGTGAAGTATATACTTATGGTAATACTTAGATTTTTGGTGTGTTTTTTTTTACTACATACATGACGTCTTAGTCAAGATATTCTAGTTTTAAAGTATTGTTATTTGATATTTACAACAAGTAATGCTGAAGTTTCAATAGATAATTTGACTCAAACATTACATTTGATTTTAGCAAACAAAACTGGCTACTGGGATTTTGTATTTTGATATGTGAGTCTACTCGAAATGCCTTTTATCTTTTAATTATTTTGTATTTCTTAAAGGATACTTCTAATAATAGCTTCAACACTATTCATATATGATTATACTTGTTATAAAACATTAGTATTCGGCCTATTGCAAGTTTAAAACACTACATTCTTAATCTACTCCCTTAGGGATTTTCAAGAACTAGAATAATGTATAATGATAATATTCCAATCACACTATATTTGTCATACCCATTGCCGACGTCTCATTTCACATTCATATCCAATATCACAAAAAATGATTTTCCGTTGTTACTTAGCTCAACTAGTTTTGTGGATGAAGGAAAAACGCTGAAATTACCTTGATTTGAAACATGTTGTTCTTTTTCTAGAAAAGAAAAAAAAACATACTTCCATCGAAAGGAATACTTATACTTATGTCACAATGTGAATGTTAGTAAGGTTTTTTTGTACTTTTGTTCTGACTGTTGTAGTGGAGAAAATATATTTTACGTATAATACATATATAAGTTTTACAAACTGTTTTCTTCGATGTAGGTTTAATATGGAGTGAAATTAAGCAACTGTGGGATTATGGTCTGATAGAGTACGTAAATGATATGTGGAATATCATAGACTTTATAACAAACTCATTATACGTCGCCACAGTAGCGTTACGAATTGTAGCCTATTTCCAGGTAAGAAACAAAAGCGGGTTTGCAGATCCTGTATCTAGAACTCTTGTATGTACAGTCGCGTAATTCAGACTATGACTAAGTGAAAACTAAACGAATGTTACTTGAATTATGTGACATCCTTCAATAAAAAGTTACCCATTTTCTTAAAGCTATATAAAACAATAAACATCTTATTCCTGGTATTTGAATATACAGGAATTCCTTAGAATATAACTTTATAAAGTAATACATCTTCGCAATAAACAGAACTGAGTGTCATGTACAACATGACATACTGTTTGTAAAAATTACATTTTGCCATATTAGGTACAAAAAGAAATAGCTCTGAAAACGGGAACGGCTTTTCTTCCTCGTGAACGCTGGGATGCATGGGATCCAATCTTGATATCTGAGGGACTATTTGCAGCAGCAAACATATTCAGGTGAGAAGAATTCTTACTAATTGTCTTCCTATAAACAAGCACTTTTAATATCTAAAGTGTTAGATGTCAAATCATGATCGGAGAACATATTCTAAATATATTTCAGTTGTCTCTTTTCTGAAGTATTTTAATTGTAAACACATGTCTAAAAGTAGTACGGTAGCTTGAAGGTTATATATAATTACATTCCTTGTTTACATCCATAATTTTCAAAATTTATATACAATACTTTTATTTTCATTTACCTCTGTGGTAAACCTGTACTTGATTAGCAAATAATGTTTTCTGGTAATTATAGTCTTAATTACATCAGAAACAAAACGTTTCACTTTGAATAATTTTTTGTACAATCATAGTGTTTATCTAAAATGACGAACGTAATAAGTGAAAGAAAAATACTGTGCCATTCATACAAGTGCAAATTATTGATATTTATTTTAATTATTATAAAACATATTTACTCATATTTAACTAAGTGTTTTCACAATTATGTCAAAATTATGTTGTTGTTTTCATATAAGGATCTTTAATTCTTATCGTGTACAAGATGTTGTAGCAATAACCATAGGCCCGACATGGCCAGGTGGTTAGGGCACTCGACTCGCAATCTGAGGGTCGCGGGTTCGAATCCCCGTCCCACTAAACATGCTCGCCCTTTCAGCCGTGGGGGCGTTATAATGTGACTGTCAATCCCACTATTCGTTGGTCAAAGAGTAGCCCAAGAGTTGGCGGAGGGTGGTGATGACTAGCTGCTTTTCCTCTAGTCTTATACCGCTAAATTAGGGACGGCTAGCGCAGATAGCCCTCGTGTAGCTTTGCGCGAAATTCAAAAACAAACAAACAAACAATAACCATAAAAAAAGTATGTTCCTTAAAGCTGATTCCAAGGTCCACTTGGAATCCCGCTATTTAATCCTCCGTTATTTGATCTTCAACGTACGATATGAAATATAACTTTCTTTTGGAGGGAAAATGAACTAGTCTTTAAATAAAATAAAAAGCATCTTTTCATGCAAAAACAAATTTCAACTTGCTTTTACTTTATCTCTGTTGCTATCTACATAGCGATACATTGTCCTTCCACATTTACCATCGATAACCATAGGTTTGAAAATGTTGCCTATTTTTCATATTTAATAGGATACAGAAGTACAAAATTTGATGGCAACGTGTGTTTGCTACCTATATCAAAATCTTAACAAACATGATTTTTCGAAATGTGAGTGTTTGGGGAACTTATGAAATATCAATAAATAATTTGATTTTAATTAAATCATAATGGTTCTTTTAAGACATCATTTATATTTCATTCACAAAAAAAGCTTTTTATTTAAATTTTTCAAACGTTATAACAACTGACCTTTAACAATAGCATACACACCTGGAACCGAAAATGTTCAATTTTAGATTGTAGTAGAGAAAATTTGCTCACACTAAATTGAATTTTGAACTTGTTGAAGTAACTTTACCTCGATGTCTCTGCTGTTAATGTCTTCAAAATTTTACTTTTTCTACATCATTACCAAAAAACCTTCATCATTTATTTTCTAACATTCAATTCCCAATAGAAAGCATTAGCCTAGACTGTGAGACGTGACACTAACTATTCTAAAATTAAATGATATTGTATTTAAATACACATGTTTATCTTTTTCTATATGAAGGATTTTAACAAATTGAAAAAAAAACTTAACTCAAGTTTTATGAAAATAAAAAATATGTTTGCTTTAGGTTGTAATTACAATATTGTATCTTGACCACCTCTACCATTTTACAGTACCCGATACCAGTTGTATTGCCCAAAAGAAAAATATAAATGTAATATGTGTATTAAGACAATTGAATTATGAGTATTTTAAAATGAACATTTTTTTGGTTTCATAAACGTCATGAAACGTATATTCTTATGTTAATCAATGAAAACAATAATATCTTGTAGATAAATAAGCATCCAATATTACAAATTTCATAAGATTATTTTTTTTCTGTGTACATATGTGACAGAATATACAGCTAAAAATACCATGTTTCTTTTCATTTTCAGCTCTTTAAAACTGGTGTATATATTCTCGGTAAATCCGCACTTAGGACCACTTCAAATTTCTCTTGGACGAATGGTTATTGACATCCTTAAGTTTCTTTTCGTCTATACCCTGGTGTTGTTTGCCTTCGCTTGCGGTTTAAACCAGCTTCTGTGGTATTATGCCGAAATGGAGAGACAGACATGTCATAAAAGCTTACACAACCTTTACAAAAAATCCGATTCAGGGGCATGTCTGACATGGAGGCGATTTGCTAAGTGAGTATTTCCCTCTGGGAAGTAAAAACAATGCACAATTAAAAGAAAGCAATTTAGTATTACGGTTACTGATTTGATCTTGAAACACAACTCACACCAAAATCATCCCGTGCAATTTCAAACTTAACTACGAAAGACTTTATCGTTTGATTTACTACATAAAATAACGTAGTATTTGAAGTAATATCACATGCTTGGCTGTATTAGTTTAAATATATTTTAGTTCCACTTTAGTTCGGGAACATCGTACAGTTTCAAATACGCTTCAAAAACAAACGTACAGGTAGTGCTTAATTCCTCCTTCGTGCAATCACATTATGTTGCTTGTTTGCTATTAGTTTGTCATTTTTAGATGTGATATACTACAATTATGCTCCAAATTAGCACATGTGACAATACTACAGTGCAGTTAAGTGTGAATATTCAGAAAATTATAAAAAAATTGTTTCTTATTAAAAATAGTACATGAAATTGATTTTTTCAAAAGCTAATACATTTTATCCGTACACTACTGATGTTGTATTCAAAACATGGTACTAGTGTTTTAGCTTGCGTTGCATAGATGTATTCATATATATATATGGGTGTATAGAAAATAAAATCAAAAGGAAGAACTGCGTTAAAAACAACAAATCCAAACCTATGATAAACGACATTTTAATGAACAAAACAAGCCCAAACAAAAATAAAATTAAAAACTCTGCATAAATTAAAAGGATCCCCAGGGTACAGGCTATAATGTGGGATATATATAATATGTCTTCTTGGTTGTGGAGGTGAGTTAAAAATTAGGGCCCACATTGCATAGGGATCCGCCGTCTAACAGTATATATATACATATATATATACTAAAACACCAAAATACTTGCATTTACACAGTTATTATTGTTCACTAAAAACTAGTAGACGACAGGAATATGGATTGATAGGACAACTATTCCTACAAATATGAATGAAAATTTTCATGAAAGTAAACGAATTAAAATAACGTCGTCAAAATGCATACTTGTCATTAATGTTGTTGCGTATCTTGTAATTAAACAGTGATAAGCCTGCTCGACGGGTTTATTTAGCGTTCATATTTCATAATATCTCTACACAGATATACTAAGTTAATAGGACGCTTCAAATGATCTACATTAGTTAACGATCATTAAGAAAATGCTTCATTATAAATTCAAAAGGAAAATATGCGGTCAAGAGAAAAGGAAATCCTTAATTAATTTTATCATATCGTAGAAGTATGTAGAGCTCCAATTCAGATTTGGTAGTATTACTTCAGAGCTGGTGGCACTCTTCTCCTATTCGCTACTTCATCGTTTTCTATATCTCGGTATAGATTATGTTCAACATCATTTCACTTTAGAGTAAACAGAAACGCAAAGTTAATACTTTTTTGTCCTGTTATAGCTTCATTGCTATATAGATACTTATATATAATAAACTAAGTTAAATCAATATATAGTTTGTGAAGCTTTTTAGTGAGACTCACTGCGTAGCGCTGTTTATTTCATAACGTAGACATAGAAAAAAATCTACTTGAGCATTGTAAGACACTAAACCTCGTTTCAAAGTCTCTCCTGTTGACAATATAGCAATGGATATAAAGAATAATATATATTATTCAATGAAAAGCCACTCTAAAATAAAACTTGGGCTTATTGATAACGACCTTAAATAATACTTAGAGGGTAAATAAATTCCTCTTTTGCTTACTATTCGAGCATTTTGTACACTGAATGAGTTCGAAACAGAAATTTTTATTTAGTAAAGCTCGATAGCTTTGTGAATTGATGAAACCACCAATAATTCTGCATAATACTCTAACGTTCTTTTCATATCTAAATTCCACATATTTTAATTATTTATCACAAATTATTCTAAACACTATTAGTTAATTAATTCACTATGCATGACGAGTAGCTTTTATACACGAAACAAGTAATATCAAAAAATGAAGTTAGATGTGTTAGTAAAAAAAGCTACTGAAGAACATGGTATATATATATATATAACGTTTTAACATGTCAAATTTCACTTCCTGTGGATATTATGTTTCACAGAGAAGCTTCCGGAATTTCTTCACGAAACAATTTGTTTTATTCAGGTGGAAAAGTAAATTACAAAAAAAAAAGAACAGATACTGGATAAATTTAACAACTGATCTCAATAAAACAATGTAAATTATCTTTAATTCATATGATAATATAACCTTGATACATTAGCATTAATTTGAACTTTGGAGGTGCTTTAATATTTGTTACGTTTAAATTAACATATATGAATAAAAATTGACGTCTGGTTTTATTTTGCGTTGAGAAACTTATTCCACCGAAGTTGTAGTAAATTAATGAGGCCCTTGTGGTATTTCAAGTTACATTACATTTCTTGTAGGTAGAAGTTGAGTTTCTTTTGTTGTATTAAGGAGTTATCCTAAATATATGTATATATATAACGGTCTGTAGCTGTAGAAGAATATCAGTGACTACTGTGACATTCACTGAGTAGCAGTCACCAAGTAATAGAAAAGAAACTGTTTCTTTCCGATAGCTAATTATTTGCTTTTCGGGAACTATACTCCTGTGAGATATTCTTATAGCACAGACAATAAAACTTAAAATATCCCTGCATGGAGACTTCTTCAAGCCTAGATTGAAATAGTTATCTTGTTATCTTAGTACTATCTATGTAAAAGACCTTGACTGACATCACCATTAAAACTTCTCTAAAGTAGTGTTATCACGCACGATTGTTCTAACTTAAAACGTTTTGTACTGTGAAATGGTAACACCCAAATTTTTTGTGCAGAGAAAGTAAAGTAATAACGGTTCGAAAATACACATACGAACGTAGTAAAAATAAAAAATGTGCAAGAACTACTTTTATTTATCGGTCAGTTTTCCTTCATAAAATATTCATCATAGTAAATATCACCTTTAAGGAAAAGAAATCATGTTTGCTCTTAAAAATAAATAAATGAATAAACACAGAAACACTACGATAATTTCTCGTTAAACTGAGCTAATTAGATTGGCATTCATAGACAGCCTTCTCATTTATATGGCACGAAGTAGTTCTAAGAAAATAGTTTCTTCATGAAAGAAATAAACGAACCGCAGCAAGAAAAAACGATAAGTAGAAACTAAGTATTTTGCGAGAGGCACCTTAGAAATTTCTTTTGTTTCCAATTCCATAGTAGTTTTTATAAATCCAAATAGCTAAAAATGAAGTATTTACTCCAAGAAATATTACAAACCCAAATAACTAAATACGAAATATTTATTGTAAGGTATATTAAAAATCCAAATAATTACAGACGAAGTATTTGCTTCAATGTTATAAATACACATAACTAAAAACAAAACATTTACTGGAATAAATGTTATCAAATCAAATATTTAAATATGATTTTTTTTCAGATTCATTTGAAATACATTCTAAAAACAAACATCCCGAAATTACAGAAATTATTTTTTTGGCACTTGAGTTGTATTATTCACACTCAAAGTTAGCGTTATATCCACAAAGAAAAGATAAAAATATCAATTAAATACTGTTTGTTTATTGTAACTTCCTCCAGTTGTATTCAATGTATGTGTAACCTTTTAAAGTAGATAATCTTTAGTTGAATAATTAATTTATATAGTCTTTGCTTTCATATTTGTATAACCTAACCCCAAACATAAGAACTGTTAGATGTGTAAATTAGCTATATAGATACGTCTCTTAAATCTGGTCACACAATTAAGTGTAAATATTTAGTGATTATTGAAAAAATACATGATTAAGTGTTTACAACGAGCAGTAAATTGCGATTTCAGTTTGATTTTCCTGCTTAATTAGAGTTAAATGCTTTATGCCTTATGCCATTTTCAAAACAAAATTAAAAAACAACAAAACATCAGAAACTAACTAGATTATCTTTCGTGGAGCATGCTTTCTAATAATTTCATCTCTTAATACTGCATCTATTTTCATAGCTTGTTTGAGTCCTCCCAGACTTTATTCTGGGCAAGTTTTGGCCTTATCGATCTGGATAATTTTGAGTTGACCGGAATCAAAAGCTATACTCGTTTCTGGGGGATGCTGATGTTTGGCTGCTATTCAGTCATTAACATCGTCGTGCTTCTCAATCTTCTCATCGCCATGATGAACCATTCCTACCAAATGATATCAGTAAGTCATTATCTCTAATATTTCTGCTTAGTCTTTCTTTATTTCGGCTTTTTAGACATAAATGAATAATAGAGACATTAGGAAGTATTGATTAATGAATTGTAATCACATCACAACATTGTAAAAATTAACGTTACTTAATTGCTCCTGAAGAAGAAAGGTCCACCTTTCGAAAACGCTCGGGTTATAGGGTTTTTATTCATTTCTATCAAGACTTCTTGAACCTACATCACGAATTCTCACTTAATTCGTATTCTAGATCTTCAAATATGCATGATAAAATGTCTTACGAGGCGTACATTGAGAATGCACATTTTGATGCATTTATAATATTTTAACCCTTTAACTGTCATAAACATATATGTATATGTCCCAATCTAGAATGTTTATCAGTTTCAAGTTTCGCACAAGTAATGAAATATTACAACGTTTTTTGTTTATTTGTTTTTATTGTATGTCCAAAAATTAACGTGGACTGGTTATCACAAAACGAAAATGCTATAATTAGAAAATTATGTTCAAAAAAGTATTTTGAAATTAGTCTAGCAGTAGGATAGTTTGTTTGTTTGTTTTTGAATTTCGCGCAAAGCTACACGAGGGCTTTCTGCGCTATCCGTCCCTAATTTAGCAGTATAAGACTAGAGGGAAGGCAGCTAGTCATCACCACATCACAACTCTTGGGTTACTCTTTTATTAACGAATAGTAGGATTGACCGTCATACTATAACGCTCCCACGGCTGAAAGGGCGAGCATGTTCAGTGGGACTGGGATTCGAACCCGCAGATTGCGAGTCGAGCGCCCTAACCACCTGGCCATGCCGGACCCAGTATGATAGATAGTTGAGAAGAAATATACGAGAAATAATATTATTGTTTAAACTGCAGATTATTATAATAGCATATTAAAAGCAATTATTTCTGTAAACACAACGCAGTTTTATACAACCTTAGCTATCTTAAGTTTGAAGAGTCAAATACTTGTGAAATGCAAACTTTGTTTTGTTTGATTATTTGATTTTATAAAGCAGAACAGTTTTATGCAAAAGATAACAAACAAAATATTTTATTTAGAAATATGCGGTTCTTCAGACCCAAGATCTTAAGAAAACCAACAGTTTGCAATGAAAATAAGAAACCTATTATTATACGTAAACTGGTTTATTTAAATATTTTAGTGTTTTAAAATATTTCCCAGGAGCAAGCTGACACGGAATGGAAGTTTGCTAGAAGTAAACTGTGGATGAGTTTTTTTGAAGATGGGGGAACAGTACCGCCTCCATTTAATATAATACCAACGCCCAAAAGTATTTATTATCTTTTTCGGTGGATGTTTAGGAAATTTTGTGGCCATTCTCGTTCTGCAAAAATCGAGCATCTGAAAACTATAAGGGTAAACAACATTTGCATTTATTTAGTAAAATATTGTTTTGCACTTTTGTGTTTCACTCGTTGTTTTTGTATTCCAAGTATGGGTTGGCAAAAATGTTGTTTCATCTAAGAACTAGGTGATTTGTAAATTTATTTACCTGCTTGAACATTTTTATGAAAATTGAATTTTCAAGTATTTTGTCTTTTAAAAATATTCTGGGTTCTAAATGTTTAAAACAATGTGTTTTTCACATTATTGACTTTCAAAACAATTTTAAAAAGACCTAACCCATGATCATCTTGTTTACTAATTACATAATAAGAATATTCTGCATTTTTTAACGTTTCCGAATGATGTTTGATGTCCCACAAATTGATCAATAGTTAAATAAATGTATAAAATAATGATAGTTATCATGTTTGTTTGTACAGTAAAAGATAAATGAGTAACAGAACACATCTATTCTGCACATATTACGATGCTCTTACGAGATTTCATTAATCGTTACCTTATTCAGGCACAGTAAAATCGTCTGGCAACTAGCCAGTAGAATCCACTTAGGACCCAGCTGGTGTGAAAGACTTAATTCGAACTTATTTTAATCGTTTGCCAATGAAAAGTTCTTCTTGAGCAAGATAACTTAGCTGACGGCAACCATTAAGAGTTTAGGCAGTTGTGCGAAACTTAAAAATACTGTTAAAGTATCGCAATAATGTATAAATGCTTCATCGTCTTAGTGAAATTGTGCAAAATCCCATCAAGACTGTCAGGTTACAAGGATTTCACTCACTTCAACTTTTCTATAAACTTTCTTTGATTTCTTAATTGTTTCGTTTTCCTTGGAATTCAGTTTTAAGACGACAAAGGCAAGCTTCAAAATGAAAGGTAAAGCAGAAATAGCAGAGGATTATTCAAGTCAAGAATTACTATGTTGCCAGAAGAAGTAGAAATTATTGTTTCGTTATCCTTATAGTATATATCAACGTATATAAGACTTGAAAGTTGTTAAAAGGCCTTTGTGTCGTGTTATTAATATTTTGCTTCAAAAACGTTACTTGGTTTAGTATCTCATAATATTACCTATCATAATGCGACATGCAAGTACATAAATATGTAATATTATATCAAATATAAATAACAAAACCTAAACCCTAACGCTAAACATATATATTCTTAAATTGTGACTCGTACAAAGTTGTGCGAAAATGATTTCAAATTCATCAAATATATTTATAAACTTTAAGTGGGTAAAAACCAAAATAATACATACATTTTTGACTCCATGATTATTTTTACTTATTTTATTGCAGCGCAAGGCCAAGCAAGCTAATGAAAGAGACATTCGATATCAAGTAAGTGACAGTCAAGTTTTATGTCTGGGCCGGATTCTTTACAGTAGGTGTCTGTGACTTGTTGGCGATAAATTTCAACAACAAATAAACAGCACGCAGTCCACTTGTTTTAAAATAATATATATATTAAGACTAATCAAACGAATATACAAATCACAATTGTATCCAGAGTTTTAAATAATTGTCTATTTTTCGTCAAAGTCCACACAGTCTGTTTTAATTACTTTAGAACAAATTGGAAAGACGAATTATTCTTCTCTACTTTGTTATTACAATAAAATCTGTGATAGTTTCAGTTTTAAAATCGCCACTACACGTTTTTTTATTGATATATTCACAATAGCGCAGTCTAGATCTAACTATCTCTGGAACTACATTTTCTATGCTTATTTATACCCCAACAGAGGTCTAGAATGTTCCACACATTACTAGGTGTTATGATGCAATAATACTCAATTAAAACTGCGAAAAAACTCAGAAGGTTTTAATAACATGATGCAATAATATAATAATCACCGATTCATAACTAGTGAACAACACAACGTATGATTCGTAAACAGTTACATAAACAAACCTGCGATAAGCTATTCTTCTAAAATTAACTAAATTTAACATTCATGCTATATAAACTATCTAGTTTTATTACACTCGCGTCAAAATTAAATTGAAACTGCTGTATATATCTAACAATAAACTCCTCTTCCATAAAAATATTTTCAAAATTTCTTATACTATACACAAATACTGTTTTCAGTTCATGCACAAAGTCTACTCATACAAGCTGCACCAACATTTGCATTCCCCTTGATGGCCTAAATTCAGAACTGGTAGGTCTGGAGGTACAACGCCAACCTCATGATCTTTGCACTGTCAATTTTGCACCTCTGGATGTATGCAAGAGGCTGATGGTCCATCTGGATGATGAACTCCTTCCCATAGAGGTAGTTTCAGAATTTATGGATGGCATATATGGTGGCCAAACACTCTCGTTCAATCCCAGAGTAGTTCTTCTCACTACTCAACAGTTTTTTTACTGATGTACATTGTGGAAACAGTCTGTCTACATGTTCTTGAAGAAGTACTGCTACAATTTCAATGTCTGAAGCATCGGCCTGAATGATGAACGGTTTGTTGAAGTCTAGCATTCTAAGGATTGGCAAACTTCCAAACATATTCTTCAATTTCTGGAATGAATGCCATCTGATAAGGTTGTCCCCACTTCACCTTGTTGGGTTGGCCTTTCTCGGTCAGGTCAGTCAGTGGTGCAGTGACCTCAGCATAGTTTGTGATGAACTTCCTATAGTATCCTACTAACCCCAAGAAAGACTTGATTTGCTATTTCGTCATTGGAACTGGTGCATCTTGTATGTTGGATATATTCTCTTCTTCCATGGCTATCTGTTAGTCGCCCAACTTGTGTTCAATAAAGTCCAGCACAGGATAACTGATGTAGCACTTAGATGGTCTAATGGTCAGACCTGCTACCCTCACTCACCTGAACAGCTCTCTGAGTTTCTTCAAGTGGTCTTCCCATCTGGTTGTGTAGGTCATAATGTCATCTACATAATGCTCAATGTTGGTGGTTTTGTGTAACATCTTCCTCGTGATGCAGTTGAATATTGCTGCTGAGTTAATTAACCCAAACAACATCTTCTTGAACTGGTAGCATCTGTCTGGTGTCACAAAGGCTGTCTTCTCTTTAGATCCTGTTCCATAAATTTTGGAAAAGCACTTGGTCCTGTCTAATTTCACCATGATATTCTCTGGGTTGCACACAGGTTTGGAGTCGAACTTTATCACGAGATTCAACTTCCGGAAATATATGCAGAGGTGGCTTGAGCTGTCCCTCTCCTTCACAATTACCACTGGTGAGCAGTAAGCTTAATTCGAAGGCTCAATGATTCTGGCTTCTAGCATTATCTGGACTTCTTGCTTGATCAGGTCTCTCATTACATAGGGCATCTGATAGGGCCTCATCTTGACTAGATCCCTGGTTGTGGTCTCGAACTTATGTTGCACAAGGTCTGTTTTGCCTGGTCTATCTGTGAAGACATCTGCATACTGGCACAGAAGATCTTGTAGCTCTTTCTTCTGCTTGCCAATCAATTCTTCACTAATGTTGATGCCTTTGTGCATCTTATCTCCACACAGCAGTCTTATATCTAATAAGTCTTCATCTTCTATTACCAAGTCACTGTTTTCTGGTTCTGCATCTATGACAGCCACACCTGCAATGTTCATCTGTGCCTCAATAGCTGCACCTATTAGGTCTACTTCACTCTCAAAGTACTCCTTCAACGGATTGATGTGGTAGATCTTGGTCTTTCTGTCCACTTTCACCTTATAGTTCATTCTGTTGACCACTTCCTGCACTTCAAAAGTTCCTTTCCACTGCAGGGTGAGTTTGTTGTTGTATGTGGGTAACAGAACCAAAACCTTCTGTCCGACCTTAAAATGTTGATCCTTGATCTACTTGTCATAGTCTACCTGTCTTACTGCCTTGAGCTGCATACACATCTTCTTGAGTGAGTTTACAGGTCTCTTCCAGTCGGTTTCTGAGGTCTAACACGTATTGGTATGTGTTCATTCACTTCTGACTCTTCTTTCCTTGTCCACAGTTCTTTCAATATCTGCGTCAGACCTCGTACAATTTTTCTGTAGAGTAACAAGAAGGTTAAACATCCTGTACTTGCTTGTGGGACTTGTTGGCAAGCAAATAATACTACCTGCACGTACCTGTCCCAATTATGTGGTCTCTCCTGGCACATCTTCTTTAGCATGCTCTTTAAGACTTCATTAACTTTCTCACAAAGTTCATTGCCTCTGGTGTTGTATGGAGTGGTAAAGAGCTGCCTAGTACTGATGAGTCTCTACATCTTGCATCAGTTCTGAAGTAAACTGAGTCCTTCTGTCACTCAATACTTTTTTGGAAAGCCTACTCTGCAAAACAATTCTAGAAGGGATTTTGCTTCTCTCTCTCCATGTCTATCTTTGGCAATGCTATGCCTTCTGGATAATGTGTCGCATTATCGACTACTGTCAGCATGTACCAATTGCCATTGTCACATACAGTTGCTTGGGGTACAATCAAGTCCACAGCTACTCTGCTGAACAGTTCCTCTATGTGAGGCAGATGTCACATGACCTGCAAAATCTGTTCACGTCTCCAATGACCCCTGGCCAATGAAAGTTGCTGGTGATACTGATTACCATCTTCTTCATTCTTAAGTGTCCTCCCACAATCGAGTCATGAGCTAACTTCATCACTTGATTACGGTATTCTGTTGGTACTATGATATGTTTGACTTCCACAGTAGAACTGCTTTGATAGATCCTGCACAGTACTCCCTTCTGGTCTTTTATTCTGGAAGTCTTTTACCCTTTCTTCTTCTGCTTGACTTTCTCCAGGGCACTCTCCCAAAGTTTCTGCAGTGAAAGGTCTTTCTTCTATGCATCCTTCAGTTCCTGTAGACCTATATTCAGGAAGTCACCTTTCGAGATTTGTATGGACCTGAAGCCTTGCTTACTTTTCTTCTCTAGAGCTCGTGTCGTGACTGCATATGCCTCATCATTCTACTTTCTGTCTGGTTCCTCCAAACTTCGACTGCCTCGTATATTACCAATCATAAAGCCATAGATGGGTGCCCTCATACACATGGCCACAAGGTTTCCCACATAGTATGGAGTGTTCACCTTTATTCTTGCTATGGGAAACTTTCTCGCTGTCCCATCAATTAACACACAGAGATGTACCTTAGACTTGTTCTCACTGCTGCACCCAGTATATTGTAATTTGTAGGACTTTCACTTTCTTTTCCCCAACATAGCTTTCACCTACTGGCATGTTGTGGTTTGTTGGCATCTCTCGATGTTTTTTACATGCTCCAATCACCACTGTCACTGTTGACTCATTTGATAACTTCAGCTGACCATCAATCATGCACTGTTTAATCATGGTGAAAGCACTTTTTCTTGTGGTGAATCTGATGAGTTGTTTTATTCTGTTTCTTCAGACAGCAGCATCTTTGTGGGTAGCCCCAGCTGCTTCATGTTCAGATGTCTTTTGTTGCTTTTTGATGACAGACTTGCACTTACTCGCAATGTGCCTCATTTTACAACAAGCATAGCATCTTTTCAACCATTTGTCTGTTAAACTCCCATCACCTTTGATGGATTCCTACTTCTGGTCATCCATCTCTGGTTTTGACTTTGATTGGTTATTCTTGGACTTGCCAGTTATATTTCCTTCATGTGATTCCATACACTGTTCTACCATCTTGATCATCTAATCCACGTCTTTTGGTGCTCTCTCTTTTAGGAACAGTGACATGTCAATGAAGCAAGTGATTATGAACTGTTGACGTATTAGTAAACCTGTCAGTCCTTCAAAACTATCTTTACATTGTGAAGAATCACTGTAGATGTGCCACAAACTGAAATACAGTTTCTCCAGTGTCAGATTTGACTTCTCTAAACTTCCAGCAAAAACCTTTCTCAGTTAGTTCATAGCATTTTAACAAGGACACTTTTAACTTGTCATAGTTCATGGCATCTTCTGAAATCATGTTCACATATACTTGTAGGCCTTTTCCTATGAGAAGGGGGCTGAGACATACTGTCCAGTCACCTTTGTCCCAGTTCTGACTCTGGGCAATTCTTTCCTACTTCTCCAGGAAAGCATCCATGTCATCTTTCTATTCATCAAATTTGGACAGCTTGGGTCAGCTGGTCCTGACCTCATTGTTATTTTTGGGTTCTCTGTCTTTCTGTTGTGTGAGCTTGGTGATCTCAGTTTGTGCTCTTATTCCCTCTATTTCCCATCTCTCATCTCTCTCTCTCTCCTTTTCTTCTTTTTTAATTTATGCTGTTATTCTCTCTCTTCACTCTTCTATCTCTTTTTCTTCTTTCTTAATTTGAATTTCATTCTCCTATTCTTTTTGTAGTATTTCCTCCTCTGTTCTCTGCCTTTATCATTTTTTCTCTCTTCTCTGTTGATGCCCTTCTCTCCCTAAGTCTTGTTATTGTTTAACAAACTCTCGTAAATCACCATCTTTGAGCCCGTCTCTCTATCCACTTTTTAAATTCAGTTGATATGGTTATATAGTGTGATTATGATCTCTATAATATTTTAGCGCCACTACATCTATGTGTACGAGTATATTGGCTTATTTACCAGTTGTTTACGTCTACTTATACTGCTGTTTACAACTGTAGATTATGGCTGGCTGGCCACTGTCTAGTTATAGATCTGAGTCGGATTCCTTACAATAGGTGTCACTGACTTCTTAGCAATAAATTTCAACAATAAACAAACAGCACAGTCCACTTGTTTTAAAATAATATATTAAAAGAAGTCAAACGTATGTATACAAATGTTTGTTACACTGTTGATTATCACAATTGTGTCCAGAGATTTAAGTAATTGTCTCTTTTTTTGTCAAATTCCACACATGCTGGTTCAATTACTTTATAACACAACTGAAAAGACGAATTATTCTTCTCTGCTCTGTTATTACAATCCTCTTTAAAAACGCTGTTGTTTATTGTTTTCTCAGTGGAAGGCTACAGAATGAATTGTCTGTACTCTGCCTACTACAGGAAACCGAACCCTGGAAGGCTGTAAACTTACTACTGACCCATCGGGGGACAAAAAAATTTCAAACGTTTTAATTAAATAGAAAATGATTGTTTCGATTACTTTCAACCTAGCTGAAAATATTATGAAGTATTTGTAGAGTAAACATAAAACTGAATAAATAGTTCTGTGACGAACTGTTTTTCGGTGAAAAGAAAATATATCTGCAATACAAACATTAAACAGTTGGCCCGCTGTATAATATCGAAAAATAAATTAGTCACAATGCCATGATATAATTCACACACCTAAGGTTATTTAGATTACTATATGGTGAGTTAAAAAAGTCTCGAAAACCCCATAAATATGAGTAAATAGTTGTTAAATGGTAATTAATATAGGTTTTGACATGATTTATACATTAACATAATATGCTATCTTTGATAAAAAAAAATTATAATAACGCTCTTAGAATTTACTAATATTCACAGTTTTGTTTCTTACAACAGATTAGGGTTAGAATTATATTGTATATTATTCTGTAGACGATAATGCGGAATCTCGTCCGTCGGTATGTTACTAAGGAACAGAGAAAAGCAGACAACCAAGGAGTGACAGAAGACGATGTGAACGAAATAAAACAAGATATTTCCTCTTTTCGCTACGAACTTATAGAAATTCTGAAAAATAGCGGCTTCAACACTTCATCAGCAAAAGATCAAACAAAGGGTTTGTATAAACGACTCTTTAAATCTTCATACATATATATATATAAGAAACTTGAGTTATAAATAATGAATGGCTTATTTTGTCTTTTATTACATACATCAGGAGGTGGAGGAAAGAAAGGCCGGCAGAAAGAAAGGCGACTTATGAAAGGTTTCAATATCGGACTGGTAGAAGGTTCATTACCGACAATTCATGGCCTTAACTTGTCGAAAAAGTCAGCGGTTAATAGAATCACTCGCTTGGCTAGAATGTCCAGTGACAAGAGACACGTGAAACAAGGTAAATGGAAGAATTTCATGGACGCAACACGAAGTGCTCGTGCTGCTTTTACCAGAAGTCGTAGCGAGGAGTCCATTAGTAGTCAAGGGTCTTCAGGTCAACAAAGTCAAATAGAAATTTCCAGTGAATCCAGCGTCAGCGTGATGTTTACTCCAGAGTACGACAGTGAACAGGAATCTAGGCCCGCCCACAGTCAAAATCAAAGACTTGGTTGCACTGCTACTTCTGATATGCAGACAGAAGCCAAACGCTTATCACGCCTGTCTCGAAAATTTGGAAGTTTATCATTTAATCCTTCCAAGCTACGTCTTGTGTTTCAGGACCATAATAAATTCACGCCAAGGGTACAGTCCGTTCCGAAACTCTCAGGATTTCCCGAGAAAAAGAAAGCAGAGAGAACAATCAGTGCACCTAGTTCCAAAGTTACTGCAGTGCCTGCCAAGTCTGAACCCAACTCATCAGAAGAAGGTAAACGACCATCGACTACGTTGTCTCTTACCACTCCAAACGTTTCAGTAGAGCGAAATCTCTCACCAATTCAGAGTTATGCTGGTTCAAATTCCCATACCCCGAAGACGTCTTTGACCAGAATATGCGAGTCATCAGTCCTTCAAGAGTGTTCTTCCGAGGTTGTCACTGCGCCTCGTGACAATGGTACTACGCTAAATGAAAGGCTAAATGATCAACAACCACAAATTACCAAAAGCACAACCTCCAACATACAAATACGTCAAAATAGCATGGCCGTTAGTCCCTCGAGCGAAAACACTGATACAACTCCAACAGAAACGGTTTCTAATAAGACTCTGAATGGGTCAATCGGGATAATGTCCCGAGTATATGGAATAGAACCAGCAAATAAACAAATGTCTGTAGGATGGATATGATAGTTTATTCAAATTAGTGGCCTCATCCGTCATTACCTGTTTTCTTTTTAACTATCTGTATAAGTGTTATAAGAAAATTCTAATTAGTTCAACAACAAAAAAGCTTTAATCAAGTTATTTGTAGAAGGTATTCATAAATGCGCACTTCACTTCTGTATTAAATGTCGTTACTTTTTGTGAATAAGAAAGGGTAAAATGTATATATGTTCAGAATTACTGTCGCCTTATTTTAGTGTTTCAAGCTTTTATAATAATAGCTAATGTATACTCGTAAGGGTGTGTCTTTGATTTATATATAAATTATATGATCATTTTAGATTGATTACAATAATCTTAAAATGTTGTATTTAAAAAAAAAGTCAAGAGACGACTTAAGATCCATTTACTGTTTCAGAACGCCCTGTCAAAAGTAACTAATTTGTTACTTATACTCTTTTAATAATACGAGCATGCATGTACATTGTAAAAAGGTATTCGATACTGAGGCACATCACCGTATTTGAGAGTTCATTAGTTACAGTTTTTTTTAATAATATGAGCATGCATGTACATTGTAAAAAGGTATTCGATACTGAGGCACATCACCGTATTTGAGAGTTCATTAGTTACAGTTTTTTTTAATGAAGACAGGCTCATTGCATTTTATGCCTATAGCTTATTGTGTTGTATATTTTTCAGACAACTGCAATTCGTTTGTAAGAGAGTTTTGATTTTACATAATCGTTCACGTGATATTGCTAGTGTTTTGTGCTTCATGTCTTTTAGATATATTTTTGAAAAGTATTTTCCATTGGATTAGTTTTTGCAGCTTCTACACAGTTTGTCATATATTACTCAATTGGTGACATATATTACGTTGATGTGACATCATTAATTCCTCATGTGAAACGTAACGATGCTCATTCTGCATAATTTGTTGGAACATTACTGTTAGTCTCAGAAGGTTTGAGAACGAAAAGGAAAAAAATCATAAAAATCAAAATAACCGAACGTGCATCAACTTTGTATATTTCGAAAAGTCTGTTATTATAATCCATTGTTTTAAATATTGCAAGTATGGGTAATTGAAAATTATATTCGATTGTTAAACTTCTATCTTGTGAAGATATTGTAATGATATAGAAACTGTAGGTTTTAAATGATGCTAAAACAATTTCACAGCGTTATATGCTGTCATTAAATGTTGACATTCAGATTTATGCTCTTTTTATCAAAACACAAACTGGAACTTGTGAATTTCAGTGATACATACTTTACATTTTGATTATTGTAAATAAAACTTATTGCCCACATAAAAGAAATGACACTGTTCTGTACGAACTCTCGTACTAATACGTGTTATAAGTTTCGCTAGAAACGCAATTTGTCACGGCTATTTCATTTTATAATTAACTATTGTAATTTTTAGTAACTTGATTTTCCTTGCATTATAAAGAGCATGCAATTAATTGACACAGTTATTTGTATTGTTCACATATCAGTTGAAATAAACACATTTAAGGTAAAATTAGCTCTACTTAATATCATAAATAACAATCATATAGGATTGGAATATCTGATATAAAGAGCTTTCTCACACCATCTCATCACGAACATTATCAAAGCAAACGCACAGATTGCTTATCTTACAATGTCAAAGTATTTATCTGAAAAGAATTAACATTCGTGAGTCAATTAAGATGGAAGAATAATTCAATTAGTAATGTTTCTAGTCCCTTAAACTTTCTTCGTTATTTTATAGTTTTCGTGGGTTTATCTTTAGTATTCGATTGGAAATGCAGTACATTCTTAAGTTTTCAAGTTTCAAATTAATTCAACTACACGCCTGTTAAGAGAGACCAGTAAGGACGCAGTGTGATTAATATTAACGCTTAATTTGTATATTTATATATGTTATCGTTTTATTTCCTTAAGAGAGTCATTACTATTATTTACGGTGTGCAATATTTTCATTAATCTAATTTTATTATAGTAACAGATTAGTAGTGTAGCATTTTAAAGAAAGTCAGGAATTTAGTTATAGAAACTAATGACACTTCAACCATGTTCCTTAATTTTGAGTATAGATATCGTCAAAGATCCTCTTTTTGTGGTGTCAATTCGTATTGATAGATGTTGGCAGTACTAAAAGAGTTTCATACACTCAATAAAATACGTATGGATAGAAAGGCACATACACATAATTTGTCATAAGTACGCATAAAGCAATAAACCTCTATAGGACATGCTTAAAACATTGCAAACCTATGTTTTAAATGTTTCAAATTAGTTTAGTAAAATTACTTGGATTAGCTAACAAGTGTGCTATGTAAGAGTAAATCCATTAAAATAAATAAACTAGTTGACATTTGAATATTAATAGTTCAATATGGTTAATATGAATTCGACAAGAACAATAACACGTATTTTATGTACGTGGAAGAGAGCAGAATGTGAAAAGCGATCTGCTTCCAGTGAGTTTCTACAATTGTATTTTGTATTTGAAAGACCTGAAAGATCAGTCAGTCAGTAAAGTATGTTGTTCCGCTGATAAATTACAGTGTAAAACAAGGATATTAGATTATGTTCTTAACAGTGGTTTTATGGTGTAATGTAATATATATTACAGAGTACATTTGTCAAAATAACTTGTGGCTATTAATGAAATGTATTTACTCGGTTCTTGAAAGGAGCTTCTTATTGCAATTTTAATTTTAAAAAGATTAAAAGAACACAAGATGTTGATATAGCAAATATATAATTAGATCATAAGTCAATTATGCAATATCTATAAAAAAACGCTCAGAACATTTATTCACCTGAGAGAAATTTAAGTATGATTATAAAGTAACTAAATTTGGTTAACAATCTATACCTTTCAGTGTTCCCTCATACAAGTGAACAAATTAACCAAGTCGAGAACATGCGCTGCAATGCGATATTGTGTATAAAATCAAAAGTAATTAAAGGTACAAAGACAAGAGTCGTGGTTATTTACGGTACCAAATACAATATAATATGAACTAAAAGGTATGCAAAATAAGAGCACAAACATAAATCCATAGAACAGGCTTTAAAGGACGATTGTATTTTATATTTTGATATTCAGGTGCTGTATAACAAATTAGAATTAACAACTGGAAGCGTGACTTCACCTTTGACTGTAAAACTGCTTCAATTATTTACAGTAGGGCATTTGAAAGTTCCTGAAGGGTATGCTGAGGAATTAGATACCATTCATAGAGGACACAGTTTTACGTAAAACATGGTAGTTTTATTCACTCGTAGTGATCATTCAACCACTGTTAATCGGACTCCTACAATATGTCTTCTGAAAGTCAATTAAGTCATCCTTCTTTTTCATGCTTCTTGGTATCTAAAGTAGAAAAGAACGTTCATATGTGTCATTAACGCAAATCACTTGTTTATAATGCCAGTGGAATACGAAATCTAACCCATATATATAGATATATAAGAAAACACTGTATTATCAGACTTTTTTTCCCCTTCTTTATAATTTCTTCTACGGGTTTCTTGACTTCAAAGGTCACTCGTCAGGAACTAGTTTAACTGAGAATCTATAACAAAAACATACAGCTACCACTTTTCAACTAAACATAAATAGTTCAAGTTAAATATATATATACTTTCCAAATGTACAAACATATAATACACTCCATGTATAAATTAAGTAACTTACAAATGCTCAAAAATAAGTAAAATTAGTGAATATACTTTCGTTTTTAAATTAAAATCTTATTCTAATTATACTTTCTCTTATTATTATAATAGAAATGCAATTTATTTATCCTATAATTTTATACACTTACTTACTTTTATTTTCTGTAAGTCTTAATAACTGTTTTCACAATTCCTGTTGTCTTTACACAATCAATTACTTTTGCCCTCTTACTACTATATATTCAGAGCGAATTGAGCACGTTTCCATTTCAAGAAATTACAAAACTACGGAGAGTTTCCAGCATTAAGAGTATCGAAAATTGTCAAGAATATTTACAAAATGTCAATTTCATTAAAAAATGCAAACATATATTTTAAAATATACAAAACAGATTATAGTATAAGTTTTTACACTAAGATACTAATTGTTTATTTATTTTTATGTTATTAAAACATATACAAGCAGTAAATTACATATAAAAACATTTCCTATCGAGAAGGAAAGTACGATTGCAAATAAAAACCCAAAATTTTTCATTTGAAATTTAAG